TTTAAAACAATATATACAGTGCATTCGTAAAGTACTCAGACCCCTTGACTTTTTCCACATTTTGTTACGTTACAGCCTTATTCTAAAATGGAATTCAATAGTTTTTTCCCTTATCAATCTACACACAGTACCCCATAATGACAAAGCAAAAACATAAGTATCAGACCTTTTACTCAGTACTTTGTTGAACACCTTTGGCAGCGATTACAGTCTTGTTTCTCATGGTCTGAGAATCCTTTAGGTGCCTTTTGGCAAACTCCAAGCGGGCTGTCATGTGCCTTTTACTGAGGAGTGGCTTCCGTCTGGCCACTCTACCGTAAAGGCCTGATTGGTGGAGTGCTGCAGAGATGGTTGTCCTTCTGGAAGGTTCTCCCATCTCCACAGAGGAACTCTGGAGTTCTGTCAGAGTGACCATCAGGTTCTTGGTCAACTCCCTGACCAAGGCCCTTCTCCCCGATTGCTCAGTTTGGCCGGCCGGCCAGCTCTAGGAATAGTCTTGGTGGTTCCAAACTTCTTCCATTTAAGAATTATGGAGGCCACTGTGTTCTTGGGGACCTTCAATGCTGCAGACATTTTTTGGTACCCTTCCCCAGATCTGTGCCTCGACACAATCCTGTCTCTGAGCTTTATGGACAATTCTCTTAACCTCACGGCTTTGTTTTTGCTCTGACATACATTGTCAACTGTGTGCCTTTCCAAATCATGTTCAATCAATTGAATTTACCACAGGTGTACTCCAATCAAGTTGTAGAAACATATCAAGGATAGTCAATGGAAACAGGATGGACCTGAACTACATTTTGAGTCGCATAGCAAAGGGTCTGAATACTTATGTAAATAAGCTATTTCCGTTTTTTAATTTTGAATACATATATAAATACGTATAAAAACCTGTTTTCACTTTGTCATTATGGGGTATTGTGTGTAGATTGATGAGAAAACATGTTTATTTAATCCATTTTAGAATAAGGCTGTAACGTAACAAAATGTGGAAAAAGTCAAGGGGTCTGAATACTTTCAGAATGCACTGTATATATTAAAAATATATATATACATGGGGGATTGGAAATGATGCAGACAATTACACTGATAGAAGCCACAATCTATCTGCAATATTAAATATTAAATGAGAGGTTAGCCGGTCTTGGGGATATGATGCGTCTGTAATTTTTTCACTCATCATTATTCACAATTCATTCAGGACGATTCGTAATCATGGTAGCATCCACATGAATGTAGAAGTGTTTAGAAACCTATTCTATTCTTATTTACAATAAAAGTGACTCCAAAATGACACAATCCATTATTTACCATTCATTTCTATTGGGCACAAAATAATCTGAAACACAACCAAAAGAAACAGCAAATGCATCCATCAAGTTCGTAGAGTCACAAGCTTGATGTAATCATTGCGTGCTAGGAATATGGGGCCAATACTAAACTATTGACTACTTTAATACACATATAAGTGAATATGTCCCAATACCTTTGGTCTCCTAAAATGGGCAGACTATGTACAAAAAGTGCTGTAATTTCTAAACGGTTCACCCGATATGGTTGAAAATACCTTCTAATTAACGCTGACAGACTTTAACCTCATAGTCAGTGTATCATTTCAAATCCAAAGTGTTGGAGTACAGAGCCAAAACAACAACACAATTGTCACTGTCCCAATACCTTTGGAGCTCACTGTACATCACAGGTTGATTGCAGATGTGCCTCCTGGTGTGTACTACCTATAGTGAGGCAGGTATAGTATAGACTAAGGAAAGGGCTGGTTTGCATCGTCACAGCCACACTGAAGGAGTGAGAAATATTTTTCTCCACTCTGCTGACGAGTGTTTTTCCCTGCTCATACAGAAATAAAGACCTAGTGCACAAATTTGGTGGAAATAATATATATACAGTTGAAGTCGAAAGTTTACATACACTTAGGTTGGAGTCATTAAAACTCGTTTTTTAACCACTCCACAAATGTCTTGTTAACATTTACATTTACATTTTAGTCATTTAGCAGACGCTCTTATCCAGAGCGACTTACAGGAGCAATTAGGGTTAAGTGCCTTGCTCAAGGGCACATAGTTAACAAACTATAGTTTTGGCAAGTCGGTTAGGACATCTACTTTGTGCATGACACAAGTAATTTTTCCAACAATTGTTTACAGACAGATTATTTCACTTATAATTCACTGTATCACAATTCCAGTGGGTCAGAAGTTTACATACACTAAGTTGACTGTGTCTTTAAACAGCTTGGAAAATTCCAGAAAATGATGTCATGGCTTTAAAAGCTTCTGATAGGCTAATTGACATCATTTGAGTCAAGTGGAGGTGTTCCTGTGGATGTATTTCAAGGCCTACCTTCAAACTCAGTGACTCTTTGCTTGACATCATGGGAAAATCCAAAGAAATCAGCCAAGACCTCAGAAAAAAAATTGTAGATTCTTGGGAGGAATTTCCAAATGCCTGAAGGTACCACGTTCATCTGTACAGACAACAGTACGCAAGTATAAACACCATGGGACCACGCAGCCATCATACCGCTTAGGAAGGAGACACGTTCTGTCTCCTAGAGATGAACGTACTTTGGTGCGAAAAGTGCAAATCAATCCCAGAACAACAGCAAAGGACCTTGTGAAGATGCTGGAGGAAACAGGTACAAAATTATCTATATCCACAGTAAAGCGAGTCCTATATCGACATAACCTGAAAGGCCGCTCAGCAAGGAAGAAGCCACTGCTCCAGTTTGCAACTGCACATTGGGACAAAGATCGTACTTTTTGGAGAAATGTCCTCTGGTCTGATGAAACAAAAATAGAACTGTTTGGCCATAATGACCATCGTTATGTTTGGAGGAAAAAGGGGGCTGCTTGCAAGTCAAAGAACACCATCCCAACCGTGAAGCACGGGGGTGGCAGCATCATGCTGTGGGGGTGATTTGCTGCAGGAGGGACTGGTGCACTTCTCAAAATAGATGGCATCATGAAGAAGGAAAATTATGTGGATATATTGGAGCAACATCTCAAGACATCAGTCAGGAAGTTAAAGCTTGGTCGCAATGGGTCTTCCAAATGGACAATGACCCCAAGCATACTTCCAAAGTTGTGGCAAAATGGCTTAAGGACAACAAAGTCAAGGTATTGGAGTGGCCATCACAAAGCCCTGACCTCAATCCTATAGAAAATGTGTGGGCAGAACTGAAAAAGTGTGTGCGAGCAAGGAGGCCTACAAACCTGACTGAGTTACACCAGCTCTGTCAGGAGGAATGGGCCAAAATTCACCCAACTTATTGTGGGAAGCTTGTGGAAGGCTCCCGAAACGTTCGACCCAAGTTAAACAATTTAAAGGCAATGCTACCAAATACTAATTGAGTGTATGTAAACTTCTGACCCACTGGGAATGTGATGAAAGAAATAAAAGCTGAAATAAATCATTCTCTCTACAATTATTCTGACATTTCACATTCTTAAAATAAAGTGGTGATCCTAACTGACCTAAGACAGGGCATTTTTTCTAGGATTAAATGTCAGGAATTGTGAAAAATTGAGTTTAAATGTATTTGGCTAAGGTGTATGTAAACTTCCGACTTCAACTGTATATCTATATTATATCTATATTTTTTAAATATCATGGGGTGCTGCAGCACCCTCAGCACCCCTATTTCCCGTGGCTGTGCTGGGAGCATCATGCTGTGGAAAACTAGTACATCTCTCCTCACCATTCTGCTATCTGAATAATAGAATAGCTACATAGTCATTATGGCTTACCATAACCTGCAATGAAGTCTATGTGCTACTACACACTACTATGCTAGTATGGCTGAGGTGTTCTCTGGAGCTGTCAACCATCACAGAGCAGTGGACACAAACAGCCAAGGACCAGACTCACTACCTACAGATGTACTGGGGCCAAACATCTGTTGTGCACCATGACAATGTATCTGTCCTGATGGTACAGTATGTTTTTAAGTGAGCCGGTCTCTCTGGCTGTCTGTTTCTAGGACTGCAGACACACAGGCCGTTGAAGGGCTGAAAGGGTTGGGGGATGGATCAGATAGGGACTGACCTGGGTAGTGAGTGAGTGAGTGAGTGAGTGAGTTAGTGAGTGAGTGAGTGAGTGAGTGAGTGAGTGGATGCTGAGTGAGTGAGTGAGTGAGTGAGTGAGTGAGTGAGGTGAGTGAGTGAGGAATGAATGAGTGAGTGAGGAGAGAGAGGAGGATACAGAGAGAGAGGAGCTACAAGAGAGAGATATAGATATATAGAGAAGAGAGAGTAAGGAAAGATAGAGAGAGAGAAAAGAGGAGATACAGAGAGAGAGAGAGAGATAGAATGAGATAAGAGGAGTACAGAGAAAGATATACAGAGAGAGTAAGAGAGTATAGATAAAGAGAGCTAGAGAGGATGAGATCCAGACGAGAGCGAGAGGTCTATACAGAGAGAGAGGAGAGAGGGATACATAGTAGGAGAGAATGAGATACATAGAGATAAGGGATACAGAGGAGAGTAGAGAAGAGATAGACAGAAGGAGAGACATGATAATAGATAAGAGAGAGAGAGAGGAGAGGAGATACGAAGGAGAGAGAGCGAGAGAGGAACACAGAGGAGATACATAGAGGAGAGATGGGGAGATACAGAGAGAGAGAGAGAGAGAGGAGATAGAGTGAGAGCGAGAGAGAGAGATGAGATACAGAGAGAGAGAGATACAGAGAGAGGAGATAGAGAGAGAGAGAGAGAGAGAGGAGATACAGAGAGAGAGGAGATACAGAGAGAGAGGAGGAGAGAGAGAGAGAGGAGATGAGATACAGAGAGAGAGCGAGAAAGGGAACACAGAGAGACGAGATACAGAGAGAGAGCGAGAACACAGAGAGAGGTACATAGATGATGTGTATGATGAAGAGAAGAAAGGGCTATGTAGGACAAGACCTCTCCCAATTCATTATATCATCTAACTGAGAAGCCGCGAGGACTCAAAGGCCTAGCGTTAGTGTTGTTAGCATTACCCAGATTGACGGTGAGTTTGACCCGGCCCGCGTCCAGCTCCAGACGCAGGGTGTCAGCTGAGTCCTGGGAGGTGGTGGCCAACAGCAGCCCAAAGGCCCTCTGGGACATAAAGCGCAGCGCCACGTCCTCGGCCTCCGTGTGCATGCTCACTCGCAGCGTCACCTTCAGATACATGCTGCCGTCGTAGCTCAGCACCGTGGCCTCTGTGTGTGACACCCAAAGACAGGGAAACAGGGTTAGCTAATGTTTTGGTCGCAAATGTTCCCATACAGTAGAGAACCTTTTCCTACACTCAACACTGAATAAGCGCATTATTCAGAATAAAATAAGAAATCAATGTAAGATAATATTATTTTAACTGATATTTCAGATGCAATCTTTGCTGAAAAAATATAGAACAGTGTTTTTCCTTGTATGCCTGTTGGTGAGAGTTTCCTGCAGCAACACTAGATGGCAGGAAAAGCCTGTAATATATCCCCCAGCTCTGTTATATGATGCCTCTCTAATCATCCTCCTCTCATAGATGTATATTCAGGCCACAAATAGGATGAGGATTCCATTGATATCCCTCATAATGTTTTCAGCCAAATGCCTTCACAATGGGGCTCCTCATCTCTCTGTGAGAAAGATCTCTGTGGTAGATGCAGGGTGATTTAGACTTATGGAGAGTGCACCGCAATACTGATGAATTACTGATACCCAGCAGTGAGTGGCAATTCAGCAATTTATTCCTCACGTACAGCCACTTCACTAACAGATCACTAATGGAGTGGGAAGTTACCCCTTGAATGACTCACATAAAAAGTGATTTAATCTCCATTGTCTGTATGAAATATCCTAAAACTTGTTTTAAAAGCTTTGCAGTATCATTTCAACCAGAGCAACATTCCCCATCCCACTGTCCCTCTCTCTCACCGCTCTCACAGTTTCCCCATCCCACTGTCCCCCTCTCTCACCACTCTCACAGTTTCCCCATCCCGCTGTCCCCCTCTCTCACCACTCTCACAGTTTCCCCATCCCGCTGTACCCCTCTCTCACCTCTCACATCCCACGCTCTCACAGTTTCCCCATCCCGCTGTCCCCCTCTCTCACCGCTCTCACAGTTTTCCCTATCCCGCTGTCCCCCTCTCTCACCACTCTCACAGTTTCCTATCCGCTGTCCCCCTCTCTCACCCACAGTTTCCCCATCCCGCTGTCCCCCTCTCTCACCACTCTCACAGTTTCCCCATCCCGCTGTCCCCCTCTCTCACCACTCTCACAGTTTCCCCATCCCGCTGTCCCTCTCTCTCACCACTGTCACAGTTGGGGCCCAGGTAGCCCGTGCTGGTGCAGTCACACACATGACGGTTCCAGCCCTCGCGGCACTGCCCACCGTTGCCACAGATGTCTCTGCCACACCTAATGTGGGTTTCTCTGGTGCAGAAGCTGCTGACTCCAGAGGCTCTCTGGATCTCAGCCAGTCTCCTCAGGTCCCGGCTCCGCCCATCCATGAACAGGTCCCGCATGCAGCCCACATAGCCCAGGTTGAGGGGGGCCGTCCAGACTTCTGGGGGGAGGATGAGGCGCTGGCGTGCCTCGGGCAGACCCCCCAGGTACATATCACCATCCAGGTCTAAGATCTCATTGCCTTCATTAGCAGAGAATGGTGTGCTGCGGCTGTTCACTGAGATAAAGCCTGAAGGCAAGACAGTCAGAGTGAGTCAACTAGTATCAAGGCTGTCTCACCTCACTGTATGTGTGTTTGAGAAGATGTGCAGGTGTGTGTGAGTAATGAGTGTTGGTGGAGAAGTAGGAAAATGAAGTGAGAGTGTGAGTTCCTGTGTTGCTATTGGAGGATGTGATAGAGACAGTGGATCTAGCTATTCATTGGGATTTAAAATCAAACAGAAGAGGATATCCACAAGGTACACCAGGTGTAAAACTGTGAAATGACTAATGAAGAGGAATATATCAGATCTTTGTCATAGCATAATTCTCTATTACCAATAAGCTGTAAGCAAACCGGCTGGAATCACTGGGCTCGACATTTCCCCACGAGGTAGGTGACAGTATAATTGGCCACTTGCGAAATAGGTTAAGGCAATTTACAAAATGTCATACATAGATTATAACTGCTAAAAATAAGACTGTAATTAAAACTGGATATGCACGCAGCATCTCTAAATGCAGTGAAGAAACATGAAGATTAAGGTATAGTAAATGTAATTTCACAAGCCAGTAGAATTTAACTCCTACATTTCTGGTACAGTACGTCTGCAGGACCAGAGTTACTGTATACGCCCCTGGTTCTCTTTTAGTCGACTCTTCGACATCTCACTATGGGACACGGCCCCGTGCGGCTCATTGGTTGAAGCCTTTTTCAATCACACCTAACAGGCCAATCAGAGCTTATCAGAACCATCATGTGTGCTTCCTCTCACCCTTGCGCCCCTCCCTCTGGAAGTCCACGTGGCACCACTCCCCATCGTTGACCCTCTTGTTGCTGGCCTTCATCTTGATGCTGCCAGAGCCCATGTCCATCACCAGGTAGAGGAAGCCGTCCATTAGCTCCATGGCAAAGTAATCAGCCCGGGCATACCTGTCCGGCTGTCTGTCTGGGCCCTGCAGACGTCCGTCCCCGTAGCTGAACAACAGCAGGCCGCTGGGCTCCGTGGTACGGAAGTCAAAGGAGATGGAGCCAGTCTTCTTGGTGTTCCACCTGGGCAGGGTGAGGTAGGCGGCAGGCGTGTCGAAGGTGACCGGCTCCAGGGCGGCCACGTCCTCACAGCGGAAGGTCAGGTCACCGTGAAAACTGACCTGAGGGTCCCGCTCTGCAGCCAGACGAGACAGCTCCAGTGTGAACTCATTGTTCTTGTAAACCACCTATAGGGACAGGGGACAGGAACAGGGAACAGGACTGTCACTGAGTGGGTGGCTGCGGAGAGAACACTTTCTGTGCTGTTATTTACCTCAATCCTCACTCTTTTCTGCAATTGTACTCAATACCAAACCTTAGAATTCATGCAACAATTTGTCATTCATTGAAACGGTTTCTCTCTATCAACCTTGAGCTGAAAGCTGAGAGGGAAATGCGACAAAAGATTCCACTGTATCATTTGGTATCATTTTTTACAGACAGACTGCAACCAACAACATACATAATGCTAATAATCATAACTAGACATCCACTCCAGACATTACAGAGTACATGACTCAATACAAACCATCAGATCATAAAGAGAATCTTCCTGTCTGTGTCTGTCTGTCTGTCTGTCTGTCTGTCTGTCTGTCTGTCTGTCTGTCTGTCTGTCTGTCTGTCTGTTTGCATGTCTGTCTGTCTGCCTGTCCTGTCTGTCTGTCTGTCTGTCTGTCTGCATGTCTGTCTGCATGTCTGCCTGTCTGTCTGTCTGTCTGTCTGCATGTCTGCCTGTCTGTCTGTCTGTCTGTCTGCATGTCTGCCTGTCTGTCTGTCTGTCTGTCTTCCTGTCTGTCTGTCTGCATGTCTGCCTTTCTGTGTCTGTCTGTCTGTTATATGTGCACTGTTCCCATGTACAGATGAAGGCAGTAGGCAGGCACAGCTGAACATGTTTTTCATTTTCACACCAACGGCACTTGCCGTCAAAAGCTGACTGACGCCCTGCTCCAGGGTGAGAACTTTAGTGTCTCTCTGAATCAAAATACACTAGGCAGCAGCTTGGCTTCACACGATACCATTACCAGTAATTGCCAGGCCAAAAAATAAATCTCATGAGAATAAGAAATGAACCACAGTATAAAAAATGCAAGCTGGAGAGTCTATTTCAGCCATAGGTGCAAAAGTACAAAAGAGTAAAAATCTCAGTTGACACTCAATATCTCTCTCTTTTTTGGTAGTATCAATCATACTGATACAGACTCCTGATGCCTGTTACAGTGTAACATTGAGTGATAGATATTGGAGGAATACATATCAGGGTTAGGGTTACATCTATTTCATCACAGGCTCAACAATATGCAGTGGGGTCCAAAATCATTGGATCGCTTGATAAACATGAGCAAAAAAACTGTATTAAATAAATAATAAAAATACTGAGCTACTGTATATTGTATGCTCAGAAAAATTTAACACTTGTATTATTTAATACTAATACAATTGCTCAGATAAATATATTTTGTTTAACAAGTAATAACCAAAAAATATATAGGGGTAAAAATGATTGGATCCGCTGTTTTCAATACTCCAGCACCCTCCCCTTACGAGTATAAGGACACAGTCTTTTTCACCAAAAAAATATGAGATTGGAGAACACATTGGGAGAAATATTAGATAATTCATACAGAATCTTTCCAGATCCTTGATATCCTTTGTCTGTGCTTATGGACTGCCCTCTTCAATTCAAACCATAGGTTTTCAATGTTGATTTTGTGGTCAATTAAGCATTCTTTGTGGATTTTCATGTGTGCTTGGGTTAATGTCTTGCTGGAAGATCCACTTGCGGCCAAGTATCACAGCTCAACAGATGCCCTGTGACAGTGTGCATACCCAGATCAGAGTTCCCTGTTGAGGTACTTACGTCTTTGAGACAGCCCATGAAGTTATTGCTGACTGGGGAGCCAGGGAGGTCAGCCGTGTTGGGACTCCCGCCGATGTAGAACAAGTCATCTGATCCCAGCATGGTGTAATCCTCCTGGGTGTAGCCGGAGGTGGTCAGGATCCCATCCACAGAGATAGTCACCTGGGTGGCCAGAGAGAAATGGAGGTATGGAGAAAGCGGGAGGAGGAGAGAGAGAACAGATAGAAAGAGACAAAGGGGAGATGTGGAATTATTAGAATTTGAATTCAACATCAAGTGAAACAATCCACTGCTTAGTTTTTTTTGCGTTAAATGCTGGCCTTTAAATTTGGTTGAATACTTAGCTGTAAGAGTCATGGGTGCAGTTGGAGGGCCCTGCCATTCTCAGAAGCTTCCTACGTTTCTCTATTCTCCAAAGATTAGCAGGGTTGATGATAAGCAAATTATGATATGATCATTCGACCAATATTTTGGATTTCAGTATAATATTATAGAGTTTATATATGTATGTTCGTAGCTGTGAATTTGAGATGACACCCATTCCATTACAAATACAGTAGGTCATCATCGGATATTAGACAGCTGAAACCAATTCTAATCAATCTCAAATCAATACAGAGAGAATAAATGAACGGACCAATTAACAATCTATTATTCATTATTGGGAGAAATTGTTTCAGAAGGCATTATAATCCATTAAAATGGTTTAAGAGGAGTGCATTACATACAGTTGAAGTCTGAAGTTTACATACACCTTAGCCAAATACATTTAAACTTAGTTTTTCACAATTCCTGACATTTAATCCTAGTAAAAATTCCCTGTATTAGGTCAGTTAGGCTCACCACTTTATTTGAAGAATGTGAAATGTTAGAATAATAGTGAGAGAATTATTTATTTCAGCTTGTATTTATTTTGTCACATTCCCAGTGGGTCAGAAGTTTACATACACTCATTAGTATTTGGTAGCATTGCCTTTAAATTGTTTAACTTGGGTCAAACGTTTCGGGTAGCCTTCCACAAGCTTCCCACAATAAGTTGGGTGAATTTTGGCCCATTCCTCCTGACAGAGCTGGTGTAACTGAGTCTGGTTTGTAGGCCTCCTTGCTCGCACACACTTTTTCAGTTCTGCCCACACATTTTCTATAGGATTGATGTCAGGGCTTTGTGATGGCCACTCCAATACCTTGTCTTTGTTGTCCTTAAGTCATTTTGCCACAACTTTGGAAGTATGCTTGGGGTCATTGCCCATTCTTTGGATTTTACCATGATGTCAAGCAAAGAGTCACTGAGTTTGAAGGTAGGCCTTGAAATACATCCACAGGAACACCTCCAATTGACTCAAATGATGTACATTAGCCTATCAGAAGCTTTTAAAGCCATGACATCATTTTCTGGAATTTTCCAAGCTGTTTAAAGACACAGTCAACTTAGTGTATGTAAACTTCTGACCCACTGGAATTGTGATACAGTGAATTATAAGTTAAATAATCTGTCTGTAAACAATTGTTGGAAAAATTACTTGTGTCATGCACAAAGTAGATGTCCTAACCGACTTGCCAAAACTATAGTTTGTTAACAAGAAATTTGTGGAGTGGTTGAAAAACGAGTTTTAATGACTCCAACCTAAGTGTATGTAAACTTCCGACTTCAACTGTATATATGAGATATACTGTTGTCGTGTACGTGGCTCAGCTGCGACTGAAATGGTAATACTATACCAATATTATTGTTTTGTGTTTTTAAAATCGTTGTTAATTTCTTTTCGTTTTAATTTTTTAACTGATTTTTATAAAAAAATTAGTTTAGTTTCAGTTAGTTTTCAGACCTGATTTATTAGTTTTTTATTTAGTTTGAGTTTTACACTGAACAAAAATATAAACGCAACATGTAAAGTGTTGGTCCCATGTTTCATGAGCTGAAATAAAAGATCCCAGAAATCCAAGATGGCGTAGCAGTGCGGTCGTGTTTTCTGTAGTGTCCTTGTGTAAATAGCCTTTTTTTTGTGTGTCTATTTTGTATATATTTCCCAATTTTACTTTTTTACTTTTCATTCTTTAACTAAATATACTTTCCTGCAACCCGCCTCACCCAACGTGGAAAGGATTCTATTATTTCTTTATAACTTTTATCAAGAACCTTAAGCTGAAACTAGTCTAGCTGCAACCAAATGGCTGTGGTAGCCAGCTAGCTAGCTACTTGCTATTAGCCACCGTTAGCGTCTTCACCATTGTCCATGGCCTGCACTACCCACCAGCCAGCTCTAGCTCTAGCCTGGACAATTTGTCGGCCAGTCTGTACAGCGTGCTATTGACCCAGAGCATATCAGATTTTCTGCCGGAATCAATGGACCCTAACGCCGGATCATCGCAACTAGATAGTGGCAACCGAATGGCTGTTGTCGTTGGCTAATTACCATTTCCCCTTAGCAAGCACCAGTTAGCCTTGAGCTAGCCTCGAGCCAGGTACATCTCCCGGCTATCTACCTCTCTGTTAACCGGACGGGACCTCCTAGTGTTGACACGGAGCCCCGCCAATCCAACACGACTGGTCTGCAGACGAAATCGTCTGATGTGGTTTCAACAGGCTTCCCGTTACGACATCGACCACGAAGATCCATCAGCTAGCCCCGGCCCGCTAGCACACGCAAGCTGTGCCTCTTACTCGCCAGTGCTGTAGCAGTCCCTGAACTACCTCCGAACTCTCCTATTGCTGTTCACTGGACCTTATGATAACTCAGCTATACAGCTGATGCCTGCTGGACTGTTCCTTTATACAGTACCGCATCCTGTTTATGTTTAGCCTCAGCCCAAACTTTGTCGCCATTACCAGCTGTTTTCTTAGCTCTCTCGAATAACACCTGTGATTGCTTTATGCCTCTCTCCCATGTCAATATGTATTGCTTATTGCTGTTTCGGTTATTTCTTATTGTACTATTTCACTGTAGAGCCCCCAGTCCAGCTCAACCTGCCTTAGATAGCTCCTTTGTCCCACCCCCCATACACGCGGAGACCGACTCAATCGGTGCCTCCAGTGATGCTATCTCTTTCATCATTACCCACTGCTTAGGTTTACCTCCACTGTACTCATATCCTTCCATATCCATGTCTGTACATAATGCCCTGAATCTATTCTACAATGCCCGGAAATCTGCCCCTTTTATTCTCTGTACCCAACGCACTAGAAGACCAGTTCTTAAAACCTTTAGCCGTATCCTTATTCTACTCCTCCTTTGTTCCTCTGGTGATGTAGAGGTTAACCCAGGCCCTGTAGCCCCCAGTAGCACTCCTACTCCCCAGGCGTTATCATTTGTTGACTTCTGTAACCGTAAAAGCCTTGGTTTCTTGCACATTAACATCAGAAGCCTCCTCCTTAAGTTTGAGTTATTCACTGCATTGGCACACTCCACCAACCCTGATGTTCTAGCAGTGTCTGAATCCTGGCTTAGGAAGGCCACCAAAAATGCAGAAATGTCCACGCCCAACTACAACATTTTCCGTCTAGATAGAACTGCCAAAGGGGGTGGGGTTGCAATCTACTGTAGAGATAGCCTGCAGAGCTCTGTCATACTATCCAGGTCTGTGACCAAAAAGTTTGAGCTTCTACTTCTAAAAATCCACCTTTCCAGAAATAAGTCTCTCACTGTTGCCGCTTGCTACAGATCCCCCTCAGCCCCGAGCTGTGCCCTGGACACCATATGTGAATTGATTGCCCCCCATCTATCCTCAGAGTTCGTACTGCTTGGTGACCTAAACTGGGATATGCTTAACACCCCGGCCAACCTACAATCTAAACTAGATGCCCTCAATCTCACACAAATTATCAACGAACCTACCAGGTACAACCCTAAATCTGTAAACATGGGCACCCTCATAGATATCATCCTGACAAATTTACCCTCTAAATACACCTCCGCTGTCTTCAACCAGGATCTCAGCGATCACTGCCTTTTTGCCTGCGTCCGTAATGGGTCAGCGGTCAAACGACCACCCCTCATTACTGTCAAACGCTCCCTAAAACCCTTTAGCAAGCAGGCCTTTCTAATTGACCTGGCCCGGGTATCCTGGATGGATACTGACCTCATTCCGTCAGTAGAGGATGCCTGGTTGTTCTTTAAAAGTGCTTTCCTCTCAATCTTTCCTCTCAAGATGGCGTAGCAGTGCGGTCGCTTTTATTTTTCGTCCTGTGTAAATATCCCGTTTCTTGTTTTTTTTGTCTATATTTCTCAATTTTTTTCTTTCATTCTTTAACTAAATATACTTTCCTGCAACCCGCCTCACCCAACGTGGAAAGGATTCTATTATTTCTTTATAACTTTCATCAAGAACCGTAAGCTGAAAATAGTGGCTACCTGTTATTAGTCACCGTTAGCGTCTTCACCATTGTCCGTGGCCTACACTATCCACCAGCCAGCTCTAGCTCTAGCCTGGACAATTCGTCGGCCAGTCTGCACAGCGTGCTATCGACCCAGCGTGCTATCGACCCAGAGCTTATTGGACTTTCTGCCGGAATCACTGGACCCTAGCGCCGGATCATCACAACCAGCTAGCTAGCTGCAACCTGTTGTTGGCTGATTACCATTACCATTGCCCTATAGCAAGCACCAGTTAGCCTTGAGCTAGCCTCAGGCCCATCTCCCAGCTATCTACCTCTCTGTCAACCGGACGGGACCTCCTAGTGTTGACACTGAGCCCCGCCGATCCAACACGACTGGTTTGCCGACGAAATAGTCTGATGTGGTTTCAACAGGCTTCCCGTTGCGACGACCACGAAGATCCATCTGCCAGCCCCGGCCCGCTAGCACACGCAAACTACAACTGTGCTCCCTGCTAGCTGTGCTGAAGCACCAATTTGAACTGCTCTCGGACTCACATATTGCTGTTCACTGGACCTTATGATCACTCAGCTGCACAGCTGATGCCTGCTGGACTGTTCCTTTACACGGTACCCTGTCCTGTTTATTCTGTTTAGTCTTAGCCCAAACGTTATCGCTATTTCCAGTTGTGTCTTAGCTCTCTCTAATAACACATGTGACTGCTTTATGCCTCTCTCCCATGTCAATTATGCCTTGCCTATTGCTGTTTGGGTTAGTTCTTATTATACAATTTCAATGTAGAACCCCTAGTCCCTCTCAAACTGCCTCATATAGTTCCTTTGTTCCTCC